GTTATTTGTTTCAGCCTACTGTGGTCAAGGTTTTAGAATATCACATCAACTGGTTTGAAGCTACGGGGTTTTCAGATAAACAGGTGAGTGTATTAAAATGAACATAAACCAGGTCATATTCACTATCATATCATAAATCACTCAAACACAGAACATACATGTAGAATTAACCAAAAGTCATTGGTTGGAATCCTAGCTGCAACAACATAAGTTGATTGAAAAAAGTGAACAATTGTTTCTTCACTAATCTCAGACTCTTGAACCGTTGTATTTTAAATAAATGTTGAGGATTGGCTACTGTACAGTGGTTAACTAATTCCTATATCTAAGAGTTCCACTGTGCTTTAATGTGTGGTTAGCCACTCAAAATAAGTTGATTAATTTCTGTTTTTAGTATTCATGGTTTCATGCATTGTTAGCCAGTCTAATTGATATTTTTCAGGGCTTCTGTTTTATTCGTTATTAGCCAGTTTACTGATGCTATATAACACCATGTATCTTTTTTCCAGGGTTCCTGGTTTTACGCGTTATTAGCCAGTTTACAGAAGCCCCTTTCACCAGAAGCCTGTGCTCTCATTAGATCCTTGGCTCGGAGTTGTGGAAATCTGAGAGCAACTTTAGTATGTATACATCTTTTAAAATATATATATATATGTATATATTCTGTATACACGGAAATTTTTGCATCCGTTTTATTTTCGCCCCTTTCACTCTTACCTCAGTTAGGTGAATTTAAAACAGGTCGAATTCAAAGAATTCTGTATAACTTAATATAGTTAACAAAATCATGACTGAACAAATTTAAAAAGGGACAAAATTGTTTGCAAGGTGTAAAAGGGCGAAAATAAGCCTAAAACATCATTCATTTTGTTAAAAGACGCTGTCTGATATCATGAATATTATATATAACTTACCTTGTATTTTGAATGATTTATTAAAAGAACAAATAAGTATCAAACATATAATTTGTATATTTATGAGGTGTAATTATCATAAAGCTACTGCTTCTTGATAAGTAATTATGATAAAATTTGTCGCACTTTCAGGAAAGCCCCGAGGATCCTCGCTTAGTTCCATTAAATCTCTTCATCTGCCTCGTATCTCGTTATTTCGACCAATCAGATTTAGGGGATCCAGTCACATGATTTAGCAGAGAAAAACATGCCAAACCCCTCCGCTGAAGTAATTCAAAGTGTACAGTGAACAACAACTACATCCACATGTTTGTTATGTGAGGATAATCATATGTTTTAACCTAATCCATCTAAGTTAGGAGGAACTACAATGTTTTAGCCCTCTATAAGGACTAGAGAGAGACCGGCAGTGAATATTGTCACTTCTATGCTTGATCATTTGCTGGCATTGTAACCAAGCAGGATTATGCTTTTTTTTAAACTTTTTTAAAACATCGGAATTTGAAAAACTGTGAATAAATGATGATTGTTTAATGTTGGCATAATTTTTTTTTGGGGGGGGGGATAATGCAATATACTATAAATATGTTATATTTAGCGTTTACTATATTTGGTGGAAATTGACTTTCGAATAAGGTAGCATAGATTTGATTAAGCGCATTTCTTCATATTCTTATTTATATGTATATGTGCAAGGCATTTAGCGTTGTACTTGAATTAGCTGTACATGTAGTTATGTTCCGCCAAAGCCGCTAAAAAGAATATACAGCCAAATGAAATAGGTTTACAGTACTGCTTTATATGGAGCATAGACAAATATCCTGCTACAGTGTATATAGAATTTTAACATTTTAAAAGCATATACTGTATACAGGGAAATTTTCGCCCCTTTCGCCCTCTCCATGATTGGGTGAATTTAAAACGGGGCGAATTCAAATTACAACTCGTAATCTCTTAAACAGAACTATGACTGGGCAAATTTAAGACGGGGCAAAATTGTTCACAAGTTCAAAAGGGCGAAAATAACACAGGGCGAAAATAACCCTGTATACAGTATTTAACATTCATTTATGGGAATCTGCATCCCATTGAATCGATGAAAATTTTACCCCTACAAAAAATTTCAATTAGTCAATGTAGCATACCCCACCAAAAGTTTTACATTGAGGGTGGTATTTCCACAGCCTTTGCATGCCCTGGTCTGGAGGCCATTAAACTTAGACAAGCTCACTTTTGTTCTCAGTCTCACTTTTCCACCAATAATTCCTTGGGTAAAAGTGAAACTGAGATCAGAAGTGAGCTAGTCTTAGTTTTATGGCCCCCAGGACAGGTCTAGAACTTTCCAATGAAAGACACAAGTTAAAATTGTATAAATTTTAATATTAGAACTATCCTTTCTTTGTGTGTGTGTGCACTGTACAGCTTTTAGTTATAACAAAATCTCTAAAAGTCGGCAGCCATTGAGGTGTGTCAACAAAAACAAATCAAGGTAACAACATGATAAAAGTGTACAAAAACTAGAAAACTGACCAGTCAGCAAGGGCCCCGCCATGGGGTAGAATTAAAAGGGTGCAGCTTACAGAATGATTAATAAATGTACAAAGAAAAAGCAACAGCAACTGTATTCTTAAAATTTCAAGATAATTCCTGAATATTCAAAAACCTGAAAATAATATCCATGTATTTACATTAGACAGTAAAGAACAACTTAACATTGAATGTATATTTAAACAATTATGAATCTTGTGTTATATAAAATGCCAGCCTTCAATGAATGCAAATACAGGTAACTCTTGATGGCTCGAACTTCGATCTCTCGAAGTTCTTGATCGCTCGAAGTCAGTCTCCGGTCCCGAATTTTTCCCCTATCTAACTAAGCAAATTTACTCTTGATTTCTCGAACTCTTGATCTCTCGAAACCCTTGATTCCTCGAAGTTAAAATGCAGTCCCGCTATGCATATTCTATTGAAATTTACCCTTGAAACTTCGAAGTGGCTATGTGTATATAATTAGCGACTTTACCTGGACATTTATTGGCCCCAGGCAGAAGACGCGGGTCTCGAGAAACGGGATGTTTTTACAGGTGACACTTGTACTGTTAGGTGATAATTGATTTATAATTAATCATATGTTGCCTACATAAAAAAATTATCATCGACTGTCTTACGATAATTCAGAGAAGCAGTGAATGTAAAACAGTAAATTGAATACAAGACAAAAAACTAAATAGTTTAATTTTTACTCGAGTCATTGTCAAAGTTTAACGAAATATGAAAATGCAGAAACAGCCTTAATGTCAATATTACGACTATTGTTGCACAAATACTTACAGAATCCCGTCCAACCGTGAACGTTAACTGGTAATGTTTGAAGTAGTCAATGCTATGTACGACGCGGTAAAATGTTTTTATTTTTATTTAACGAATGCGTAGTTTGAAGTCTGTATCAAAAAGAATACATAAATAAACTTGAAGTGACGATGAACATTTTTTATTTACTCAATTTAATAAATACTTATCTACAATACGAAAACATACCATTGTTTTATAAAAACCAAATGTAAAAGGTTAAGCAACGGTTAGCACTGCATGAAAATTATTACATCCGGTAAGACTAATTTCAAAACCGGTTAACAAACCCGGAAAATACCGGACTCTTGAAATCTCGAACTCTTGATCTCTCGAAGTTTTTTCTCGGTCCCGCGGACTTCGAGGTATCGAGAGTTACCTGTATCATGAAGGCTTGACCTTAACTTCAAACAAACAGCAGTTGCAGACAATTTAAGGTTTTCATTAATCTTAAAGTGACAGATAAAGAAAAGCCTACTAAATTTTCTGCAGCAGGCTAGATAATTAGTCCCAAGGGATAAATTGTACCTCTCTCATCATTTTCTTCTAAATTTACAATAAGAACTTTTTCAGTATTAATGATAGAATGGGTTTTTTTATACAACTACATTAAAAATTAAAAATATTCTTGAATTCATTTATTTAAAAAAAGTGAGAAAAGTGAAAAAAAAGTACCCTGATAAATCAAAAAATCTTCTTTAATCTATTTTTTTTTTTTTTTTTAGAATTTAATGAAATCATAACTATCAAACAAAAAAAAATAATAAAAATTTATATCTAAATCCACATTTCAGAGTGTTCATAGCATTCCAAATTGATTTAACTTCAAAACAAACTTCATTTGCAGACAGAGGTGGTAATTAATCTCAATGTGACAGATAAAGATAATGCTCTGGATTTTCTTCAGGAGGAAAGCTAATTAATCTCATGGGACTCCTAGCAGCATTCAGTTTACTGAATGGGAACATCTTCAGCAGTTATCTCTCTTTGCCAATTGAATGCATTCTTATATAAAGTTAAGGAATCTACCCCACCACCCCAGCTCCAAACCAAGGGACATAGAGAACCAAACTTAGCATCAAAATATGTATTTTTGCCTACTGAACTACCGTACCAAATTTGATCTTAATTGGGTGTGTGCCCGTTCATTCTTATGCATAGTTAAGGAATCTACCCCACCACCCCAGCTCCAAACTAGAAGACATAGAGAATTAAACTTAGCATCAAAATATGTATTTCTGCCTATTGAACTACCATACCAAATTTGATCTTAATTGGGCAACCATAAAAAAAGTTATTAGAAAAAAACAGAAAATTTGTGGACGGAAGAGTGACAGACGGACAGACAGACGGACAGACGGACGGACAGACAGAGTGATTACTATAGGGCACCCGCAAATCCTTGCGGGGCCCTAATAAATCTGATGCAACATTGTCATGGATGAATAAACAGGATGTACAATGGGATAAAAAAAATCAGGTTAAAAGCACCTGCTAGGCTGCTCAGAGGACAAATTCTCTGAATACAAATACTTCAACCATTCACTTGATTCCTATTTATAAAATCTGACCTTTGTAGCACTGGGGGGTGTAAAATCATACAAGACGAATTCGATCAAGTTTGTCAGGTTACTTCCCTTTGCACATATATACATTATGATAAAAAAAAAAAAAAAAATTAAAAACCGTCTTCACTTGAAAGACCTTACAATATCTTGGGACAACATTACAAATGGTACCTTTATGTTACAACTTTTAATTTGCTGCAGCGAGACTCTTGGTTATAAAATTCTTGTTTAAATATCAACAATCATTAATAGTAACTTAATCTCAGTTTGTGCGTACCTAAACTCGTATCTAGCCGAATCATGTGACCTGCACACCTGTATATTCTGATTATTATATTTTTTTAAAAAAATAAGAAAGTTTCAGTCTTGCTGAAAAAAACACAAATTTTGCAGTCCAATGGAGGCAGAGTGAATTAACAGTTGTGTTGCGAGACATTTTTTATGTAGCATTCTTATTCTTTTAAAGGCATAAGAAATTATCATATGTGATTACATAATGATTATTGCATTTTAAATATAATTTAGTTCTGAAATTAAGCCTCCCATCCTCCTTACAATGAAATGATGCACAAAAAGCTTTCAACAAGTTTTTCATCAGATGAAAAAAAAATTGCAAAAATTTTGTGGGGGAAAAAACCAGTTTGATTCTCATTTCTTTTGATTTGTCCATCACATGTTAAACATGCTATCTTCAAAAAACAATTCTGAAGCATGAATAAGACCTCAAATAAAACAAACATAGTAAGGCAGCCGGGGGCTTTTAACATAACAGAGGGCTCTGATCAGATGAGATATGATAAATATACACCATAATTTGTCATCAATAAAACTTTGGCCTTGATTCCTGATCGACAGATAAATCGGGAGAACTTTCCCGCAGCCTCTCGTTTTGTAACCATGACAACATGGACCGTTGCGACCCCCGAGGCATGTCCTTGACTGCAGGCTGGAGTTGATCCCAGGCGGATATTTTCGGAGACCCATCGTCCTTCGGATTAACGACCGTCATCAGCGCCTTGAAGTGCTCCAGGTCGTCTGTACCACCCACAGTGTGACGGCGCTTTTGGCGTTTTTCTTTTCGCCTCTCTGGCGGAGGTGAAAACACTCGCTTTTGAGAATTACTTTCCCTTGAATTTTGAGCTCTTGCGAGATTAACGTCAAGTTCGAAGTCTTTCGGCGTACTGGATGATCTTCCGTAACGAGCCTGATACTGAGGTCCCTTCTCCTGCTGCCTGTTGAGGGGTATGCTGATCTCAGTCCTCTCTGTCTTACCGCTAGGGCGAAATTCTTTGGATCCGTACATATTGCTAGAGATTGTTCTGATTTCCTGTACGTGAGCAGACACGGGTAGAAGTGTGGTTGCTGAAGTTCTCGTCTCCTCACGGGGATACAACCCACTGCTAAAATCACTGTTTCCATCCACAACGTCCTGCTGACTTGTGGTAACTGTATTACTGAGTGGGCTTCTCTCGAATCGATATGCAATTCCTATTTTTGCATCCTTGGGTGATCTGTGAAGACTTGGGTCCCTATATTGCTTTTCAAGCATGTCATTACTACTGCACAAACCAAACTTATTGCATTGTGCTTGTGCTAAGGGTTTCTGGGGAGGAAGACACGAAATAGCACTTTCTTTGTCCAGCACTTCTTGAGTCGTTTTAACACCACTTCCACTAAGCACATTTTTCGGATTCACTAAAATCTGAAGTTTTTGATCAAAGGTTGACGTGAGATCAGAGAGAAGGTCGGAACCTTCGTCCGAGTCGGAGGAATGATGGGAACACTGACGACCCAGATTTATCAGAGAATCCAGCGAGCCTCTCCGTGCCGAATCACTTCGACTGAGACGTTTCCGAGAGCTTCGTCGTTCTCGATTATCTCGTCCAGCAACTCTGGACTGTCCCTTTTCTCCTGGGTAGTTTCTGGGTGGAGGAGATAAGTAGTTTTTTTTGGGGGATTCTAAAAGCCGCTCCATAGACCCCGCTCGCTTACTAGGAAACACTGGGGAATCAGCACTGCCTTGTGACAGCCGATCACGACTGTTATTCCGAGATCCTAGACTCTGAATCACGAAATATTTCCCTCCAGAATTACTCCCTGTGCTGTTTTTTCGAGAGCCCTCCGACCTGTCAGAAGCACTAGCTGTAGAGTTACGGTCATATTTCCCTCCAGGTAGTTTCCTCTCCAGAACTTCCTTGGACTCACCTCTGGCAAGTTTGTTAAAAATATCAGATGTGGAATGCCAAATGGATCCAATATGAAAATCCAACAGATTCTCATTGCTTTTACTTTTTTCGGCCTCCAATTCTCTACGACTGCTTTCCTGCCTCTGTCGTTCTATTTTCCACCTCTCTAGATCCCTCTGCTGCCTCCTCTCTTCCTTCTCCCGGAGCGCCCTAGCCTCTTCTTCGATTTTTCGGAGAGCCTCGATCGTAGAATGGCTAAATGTCGGACTTGCACTCTGTGACATTTCCATCTCCTCTCGAGTGTCCAGGGAGTCTGAGGAGAAGTGTCGGGTTTTGGAATATAAATTGGATCCCGTTCTCTCTCTCTTCATGTCCTCCCACTCTGAAGAATCGATCCCTTCGTGAGACATCGCCAGTCGACGCTCTGGAACGTTATCTGACGACCGGTTAGATGACGGAATCCTCGAGTCTTGATGACTGGCGGCCATTGCTGGTAAGTTTGGACTGCTCCGAGCTTTCATTTCTGCTGTCGATTTCATTTTTCGGTGTTTGATTTCTAGGTCTATGTTTCTCTCGCGGAATCCCCCGTCTGTCAGACTAACATTGAGATCCTCCCCTAGAGCCGGAGCCGATTTCTTACGCATCTTTTGATTGGCTGCTTGCACTATTGAGGAAACAATGTCCCGCGGGTTCACCGTGTTATCTGAAAATAAACGAGAGACTGTGTTTATTTATCTTGTATTTCAATGGCTTTAGTCTAACACAGTCATGAAGACTGAAAACTGAATTTCTTTCTTAAGCATGACACTCGAAAAATTGTACAGTACTATATCTGTTCAAAAGCTGTTACTTAAACTACAACATATCTTACTTATATATTTTAACATGAAACATCTGATTATTGAGGAAAAAAATTCATTAATAATGCAAGTCATTTAGCAAACTGATTAAATTAATCTTGATCCTTTTCTCTTCTAATTATTATGATAATTTATTTATTATTGGGTATACTTCACTTTGAATTCATGTTTAATAAATTATTATTATTTTCATTCAATTTTCAAAATTCTCCCTTTTTTCTGCTTATGCTTCTTAAAATAAAGATAATTTATTAAAAGTCATTGAAAGTGATTGGGCATATACACTATAAAAAGAACTTTGAAATAACAAATAATTTAAAGTATCATGGTTTAAATACAAGAAAAGTGAGTGAGACTTCAGATTCTTTGACATATCTATGGTATTTGAGATATTAATAACCGAGATATCAAGTTTTTATTTAATCAAATATCAAAAATATTCAAAATTTTAATTCATCAATGATAGCAGTTTGAAGATTTCCATTTCAAGGTATACGTATCAACAAATAAATGTTCTCTGATTATTAAGCTGACTATATTTTTTCAGTGGTATACATAAGGCATGTACTAGACCTTAGAAGTATCAAGTACTTTTATTATTAATGTACATGTTCTGTTGGGTTCTCAGGTTACAGTTTGTTTTGTAACATCTTACTTACAAGTAGATAGGAATTTGGTACAGAAGGCCTGAAAAAACATGCTCTATTCACATACATGCTTATTTCTAAATATCCCGCCCAGAATAAAAACATGGAAAGCTGTCTGCTTTCAAGGGAATATTAAGATTTTCACTTACATTAATGTGTTTTACTTAGTGCAATTGACTTGAAAGTTTTTTTTAACATGAAATATTTTCAATCATTGCCTATTAACTTTATATTGCATATTCCTTTGAATTTGTAAAATTCCCTTCATTTCCAAAGATCTCCATGTATCTAATAAATTTGTTATAATGCTTCTTGTATGGTAAGCCTTCTTTACACCTTTAATTACCTTTTGTTTCTTTATATCTTTTAACAAAGTCTAATCTAATAAAGCTGTCCCCTCCATTAATTTGCCATAATTCAATAAAGTTAAAAGCATTTCAACAAGAGTTGCTTCCACTATCCCTTACCCTTTTGAATCGTTTTACTTTTTTAACAAGATTCGCTCTAATAATACTTTTTTCTCCCATCCCCCCTTCCTACCCTTTTTCTCTAGAATCTAATAAAGACAAATGCCTTTTCACAAGGTTTGGTCCCACCTCCCTAACCCTCCTTTTAACAATGTTTGCTATATAGGTATACTGCTTGCCCTTAGTCTGTATTGATGTATTGCCTCCCCCCTTTACCCTGTTTTGATGACCTACCGTCTTCGTCACAGCTCATTTTGGAGACAGAGGGATTGGAGGGGGCCTCGTCATCCTCCCGACCCTCCTCCAGGGGGACATAACTGTCCTGATCCCACGAACTGAAGAACCAGTCATTCTGAAACAAAAATAAATTATTACATTCAACAAATTATAAATTAATGTAATACCTTGAATCATAAACAAAACACAACGATCGTGAACTGAATAACCAATAAAATATCAAAACAAATCGTTAATAAATTGGATATCTTAATCATTCTGCATTGTAAATAAAAATAATAATGGGGAACCATTTCTTTATAAATTGTGAAAATATTAAAACCATCAAACAAAATAGAGGAAAATAAATTCAGTGTATGCATTTACATTACTGTGATCAGACACCATGGGTCTCGAAGCAATTTTGTGACTTGCAATTTCACATAGCCCTATATGTGTATGTGTGTCTGTCTGTACACAGATAACTTACATGTAAAATGATGCTCTCTATTATCCTACATTGGTCAGACATATCCTATATGTGTATGTGTCTGTCTGTACACAGGTAACTTACATGTAGAATGATGCTCTCTATTATCCAAAGTCGGACCAAATACAATTGCCAGATTTCTAGCATCCATCTAAAACAAACAGAGAAAAAAGGTCAGTATTCTGGAGTCAATTAAATTCACTTACTCTGGGAAAAAAAAAATTTAAACAATTGATTGACTTTTTTTTAGAAACATAATATTCTATAATCACATAAAAATTAAGTTTTAAAAAAAAAAATCAAAAAAATTAAACAAAGAATATATAACAATTTCACCTTAGTTTCAAAACTGACTTAAAGTGCAATGGAATGTAGGACACATCCCACAAAATTGAAATTTTGAAACGTCATTTGAAATGTTTACTAGATAATGTATTTTCATGTAAGTCACTCTGGAAAAAATTTCCCTCCAAATCTTACTTTGTTGAGATGACCAAAACTGGCCACGGTATTAAGATGTTCCGCGATGTGTTTGAACGTCTCAAAGTGATGCTCTGGTAGCGTGTGTATCAGCCGCTTCAGTTTCAGCATTCTCATCTCCAGATCCTCGATACGATTCGCGTCGATAAAATCCTGGTATAAGGCTGTCAACCAACAAACACAAATTGTTTTGAAATACAGTAAAATCAAGTTATAACAAACTTCTAGGAACCTGCGAAATCAATTTACTTCACTATATTGGTAATTTGTGGTATCTGTACAACAGATTTCTTAAAACACACATTGATAATGAATTCGCATTGATATAGATGTATAGATTTTTTTTTAAAGAGTTATGACTAGCAAGTGTTTTTGGGGAAGCATAGTATACAAAATTTACATTGAACTTTCAAAGTTTTTAGATGATTTGAGTTTCACATTGATTAACAGTATCCCAGTATATAAATCAATGTTAGGATCTTTTAAGATAATGAAATTGAGAACAGGGGCTTTTCCTCATTAAAATATAAATTGTGTACATCTTTGGGAGAAAAACGTCATAATTAATTTATCTAAATGTAAGACGCCTTCCGTTTTCAGATTTTTTTAAAAAGGTAATAAATACATACAAACTTAAAGTCAGTTTATGTTTTTTCAAAATTTACATCCTTGAAAATTGACTATATAAGATGTAAAATTTGTTATTTTTAACTTCTAATGGACATGATTAAATCAAAAAGTGAAACCTGACTAATCTGAGATTTGGGAGGTAAATCTTATGTTAAAATAGACAGGGTGTTAGATTATACAGTGCAAAACACATGAAAAATAGTGAAATGAGAATAAAATTGGAAGTGAGAATACCAAGGGAAACAGATTGCTCTAGTGTTGGATAAAACTGTTTTTACTGCATAAAAAATTTAATACTGCAGGAAATATCCATGCATGGAGATAATTTAGTAATACAGACAATAATCATGGTCTTGTAAGTTATATTAACAGATATAATAAATAGAAACAATCAAATCTATATTTTTGTTCGTTAGTACATGAATTAACATATAGATTGCAGATTGTGCAGAAAAAATTACATTTTGTAGTGGTTTTTTTTTTTTGGCAACAGCTCAAAAATTACACAGCAGACAGAGAAAAGTTAGTACCTGAGGTAATGAGAGGATCGGGGAGATTCCTGAAGAAGGTTTTCAGTAGACTACTGATTACATTGACATCACACCATTTCTCGTGGTCCACGTTCATATTGTCTATACCCTGTCAAAAACATTAACACAATGTGGTTATTCTATTAAACTTTGTACATGTATTTTTTTCCATAAACTCACAAAAAAAAAAATCCTCTACATTTGCTTCAAAGAACAAGAATGACTTTCAGCTGAATTTTAATTTAAATTTACTATCCAATGCAAAAATGCTCAACTTACATCTGTGTTGTCATATAAATGAGAGAGATCATTTCAAATAAATTTTCACACAAGGTTACCCCTTAATTACCTTATTTAGTTCTTCCATCATCATATTAACTGCAGCCGTATTACCTGGGACCCGATACACCCCAGTGACCTCTAACCCTCGTGCTTCAACAATTTTGGTGCAAAGGTCAACAATCATTGGCACAAACTAAAGAATAGTATAGAAAAAGTTTGTGATTTTCTTCAACCAATCAGTAATCTTTTCTTGTTCTTATATATTATATATAATTTGTGATATTATATATGATGTAACAAGAGGCCTAAGGGCCACAATGCTCATCTGACACACCCATGTCTTCCTAAATAAGACATTAGTAGATATTCTCTAACAGAAACTTCCTATCGTAGCCACCAACCTAAAGTCTATGAAATAAACTGCCTCTTATTTACATTTTTTTAAATTAAGGAATGAATTTAATAGCTACCCATTTTATACGGTATAAAGTGGGTTACATTTGCTTTATAAACCACGAAGCGGTTTATAAAAAAGCATAAACTTTAACCCAGTTTATACCGTATGAAAAATGGGTAGCTATTAAATTCATTCCTTAAAATTTAATTTTCATTCATTTGATGCAAGAAATAAAGAGATCATTTCAAACAAATTGACTTCAATTTGTACAAAATTTAAATGTAACATCAGGCGGATTGATACGTTTTTGACGCAAGTCATTGTGACGTAGGCAACCCAATTTATACGATATGAAATAATTTTTTATCCAATCAAATACATCGTTACAACCAGAATTAAATTATAATTAGATATAACTAAGATTTTTCTCCTTAAGGTGGTGCCCTTTACTTTTCTAGCATGACATGTCCTAAAATAATTGCCCCTGCTGGAGTCAAACATTAGAATTCCTTTCACTCAAGAACAACAAGTGGTACATGTATGTTTTTTATGTAGAAGCTAAATTCATTGAATTCAATGTGAATCATTTACAAATGACATAAGCATGCCAGACTCTTTAAATCAGAAGAGCTAACATTTAGAGAAGTAAAATAAAATTATAATTACGTCATTGTTAGGTGAAGGTATGCAACACTCCAGAGGTACTCCGAACATGTCGTTATTTTCGGAATCCCCCGGATGGGAAGACACACTGCTGCCTTTACGGAAACTCTTAAACTTGGACAATCCCCAACTCTTGGACTCTGTGAAATAAAAGAGAAAAATGATTCTGTTGATCTTATTCCTTGCAAGAGTTATCTCCTTTACTTCATGGTAGCTTTGGCTTCAAATAATTTTGACCCAGTATGAAGAAAAAAAAATTGCACATAATTACACTTATACAAGTATATATATAATGTACATAAAATATTTTTAAAAATATATTATTGATTTTTTTTTTAACACAATGAATATGATATCTATGGAAAATGGACATGCTGACTCCAATCCTATGAAATAGAGATAAAATAAATAAATGGCTAGTGTTCTAAAAATTCATTCCATACCACAAGTAACCCAGTAAATTTCGTCCCAACAAACTAAATAACATTTGATTATATAAACATGACCCAGTCAGATAAAATGATTTGACTTGCATCATGCAGCTCACCTTTGCCCATGACACATTGACACCCTCCCCTTCCCTGGCCTGGGGGCCATAAAACGGATGAGACGGACGGACATGAAGCCTATAACATAATACGTCCCGTCTTAAGACGGGCGTATAAAAAAATAAATGGCTAGTGTTCTAAAAATTCATTCCATACCACAAGTAACCCTGTATAAAATTCCATTTGGTAAAAGTGCAGATCACCTTTGCCCATGACACATTGACATCATAAAAAGTGAGCTCTTTTCCGCTATAAATTCTTTGGTAAAAGTTTTATGGCCCCCAGGCCAAGAATTAAATTAAATTGAATTAAATTGATTTTAATTACAATATATCTCAACTGCATCATGCAGCCTACCTTTGCCCTTTCTCTTGATGTTTGGGGAGTGGGATATTTTGATGCTGGGGGATTGGGGTACTTTGATCAGTTTACCTTTGCCTTTCCTCTTGATGCTGGGGGAGTGGGGTATCTTGATGAGTTTGGTCTTGCTGCTCTGTTTGGGGGCTTTAGGGGCCACCTGAGGGGAGGTCCGTAATGAGGTGGTGGATCCGTGAGAGGTGAGGGTCGGGGCCGACTGAAGCTCCATCTGGTTCCGACTGCGGAGAATTAGGTCAGTCTCCATCTTCCCTCTCTCCTGGAAACCAAACACAAAAGATTTAACATTTTTATTAAAATTTTATAAATATTGAAAAAAAGATTGAAATTCAATTAAAAATTTGATTTATTATAAGAATCTGTGGATACTGTGGAATCACTTTTTATTTGTGGGGATCAATTGGTTCATTGGTAACCAAAATGGTTGAGGTATTTTTTTGAATTACTCACATTTACAAACCATGTAGTGAATTTATATCTATGACAAAGTTTGTTTGTGGAGATGTAAATTTGTGGGTAACTGTGACCCAAGAAAATCATGTACCCCCAACTGCCCCCCCACAAACTTTGATAATTCCACAGTATGTCCAGTAAATATACATTTAATCTATAGCTGAATTACATGTATACGCAGGGTAAGTTTTATCAAGATTCATTTGAAATATCTATTTCTAACATGGATTATATATTTATCTGCATTTGTTGCATAGCTTCTATGTGTCACAACTTCTTTCAGTCCAGTATAATCACATTATATTATAGAGCCTAATGTCTTTAATAAGTGAAATATCTTGATTATCATAGTTTACATATCTCTTAATCAGTAGAATATAAGATATATTACAATAATCTCTGAATAGTAAACAAAAAAAGATATGAAAGAGAAATAGATATTCTGATTGTAAAACAATATAAAACATTGATAATTAAAAAGAATCTGAAAATTTTATTAGTATACACAGCATAACATTTTTTATTATCTTGAGAACTGCATGTAAATCACATTCTTTACAAGCAAAACAACCCTGACTTACATTGCTGCAGCAATAGAAGGCAGCACCTGAACTATTAACAAAGGCTGCTAATTGGCCAGAAGAATCAGCAAAAAGACAGCTGATTGGCTAAAGCAGCTAGCAACAAAGACAGCTGATTGGCCAAAGCAGCTAACACCAAAAACATCTGATTGGTCAAAGCAGCTAGCAACAAAGACAGCTGATTGGTCAATGCAGCTAGCAACAAAAACGTCTGATTGGTCAAAGCAGCTAGCAACAAAGACAGTTGATTGGCCAAAGCAGCTAGCAACAAAGACAACTGATAGGCCAAAGCAGCTAGCAACAAATACAGCTGAGCTGATTGGTCAAAGCAGCTAGCAACAATGACAGCTGATTGGCCAAAGCAGCTAATGACAAAAACACAAATTTTAAATTGATTTTGCCTTCTAAAGTAAATATCACACAAGGAAAATAAATGGCATGCAAATGACCTGTGACTAAGAAATAAACTTAAGTTAAACAGAAGGAATGTGTAGCTCTGTGATTCAAGTTTTATCTAGATTGGCTGATTTTTTTTAAAATCAAGATATACTTACATAAGATTGATTCTAAAACAGGGAAATTCAATATAACATGTAAAAGTTATGATAATTGGTCCAAAAATCATAAACTGTTAAGTGACTGCATGCAATGAATATAGGGCATAAAATTTTAAAATATAAGGCTAATGGCTAATAATATCAAATTGTCAACAAAATGCCCCTGGCCCTTGATGTTTCAAAGTTTCCCAAGTGAGGGGCATTTCTGTCCCACTGGAAGCTTAAGATCCAAAACAGGGGAGCTATGCCCCTCCCTCCCAGGAAAGCTCTCCATCCAGAGATGTTACATACATTGTCAGTTTGGTTTAACCAATTAAGAGGAAATGCCAAAAATGTTTAGAAGTGTACAAAAAGACACACAATACAGGATAAGTACATAAACTAAACAACTCAGAAAACCTTAAAATGGAACATAAAAAAAATGATATCAGTATCAAATCACATGTTAAACTGTCAATGGATTCAAACCACAGTGGAACAAAAGGGATTTATATTAAAACAGAAACTAAAAAAAATACACCATCAAAAACAAAAAAATAGAAAAACTCAAAGCTATACAAATCATTACTGAAGAACAACTCCATTTTAATAATACTTTGGAAAAGAATTAAGAACACTGTGTTATATTTTGGGACTTACATCAGAATCTGGATTGTTGTTGGATTGGATGGCCTTGATCCAGTCCAGCATGGCTCCGTTCTCCTCCGCCTGGAACAGGTACTCTGAGCCATTAAAGGTCTTCAATCGGAACACATTCTTTTTCTTTGTGTAGTCATGAGCTATGTCCACCAGGCAGGATTTGATGGAAATTGGCTGGTCATCAAAATTGAATGTGTGAATCTGGAATGGTATTACCATTTTGTAGTATTACTAAATATTTCTTTAGAGATAAAAATTATTGAATTGTCTATTTTTTGAAATGCAGAAGATTGAGAGAGGGATAGGTAGAGAAGTATGAGAGAGATTGAGAGAAACTGAGAGAGAAACTGAGAGAAAGCGGGGTGAAAGTGAAAGATTGAGTGAAAATGTTTGAAAGAGAGAGACAGAAGAGAGAATTTATGAGAGAGAGATTGAGAGAGAAACAGGAAGAAAGAAGGGTGAAAGAGAAAGGTTGAAAGATTGAGACAGAAAGAATGTTTAAGAGAGATAGAGAGAGAGATAGAAAGGGATGCCTACCAGGGCGGGATCTTTTTTCTCTTTGTTTTCCTTTGAGATGTAGAGGGCATGACCTCTAAGCTCCACCCACACTGGCTTCCAAGACCTGTCACTGGCTTTCTGAAATGTCAATCATATAAAATATTGTTAATGATATCTCAATTAATTTTCATTAAAAATTAATCTAAACATAGAAACATTTTTTAATGATACTTTTATTTGAGCTGAAATATACTCTTACTGTTAAATGCTATTACAAATTACTGACTTAGTATGCCCCAAAATTTAAAGTGGTATAGAATATTGAAGACTTATATTATGATGCAAGAAAAAAGAAAGACCAATGACATAATTCCATGTTAAAATAAAAATATTTCTTACGCGTTGTATTAATCAAATTGAATTTATTTTCCTCAACTTATAGTCTTTTATGGAAAAAAATCTCGATGTGTCTGTTTTTCAGAGAGTATAATACAGATACATGTATCTTTTTTTTGTTCTTTTCCCCCAAAAATTTTACAATTCCAGATGATCTGATTTTGTGGGGTTTGGGAAAATGGATGGAGGTTGCTTTTTTGTATTATTTGTGGATGAAATCAAAAATTTGGTACATATACAACTATAACAATACCTAATATGGACATTTGGAAAACGGTTATTTTTACTGGGCGGGAGGGTGGGGGTGAGGGTGCTGTGAGGATATTTCACAGATTTTTTTTTTTTATTTCTATGATGAATGGCAATTTTGCTAGTTAGAAAATAAAATGTAAATTTTAGAAAAATGTGTATATTATGCAGAAGTTTTTTTTGGTTGTTTTTGTTTTTGATTTTGAAACAAATTACATTTATTAGCTCTGTAGATTATAAAATATGACATGACCATAGAATGAACTGAACACTTAATGTTATTCAAATTACCGTATAAGTGGAAATTTTAGCGAGACACAAATTTAGCGATTTGTCCTTAAAAACTGGTTATTTATTTTAAACAAATAACATTTATAAGCTCTGTAGATGATAAAATATGACATGACCTTTGAATGAATTGAACACTTCATGTTATCCAGATTATAAAGTAACATTTTTTTTCTTGCAATGAATCTTGTAGTATGATTATAATTTTTCTTGACTAAATGTTCAATATACAATGTAATGAAAAGCATATTGTTAATAGCCAGTATTACTTTTAATTCATTTTAAAATTCCAATGATTTTAACCAACTCAATTACAATCATGACTTTCAAGTGCAAGTGTTGGTTTGAAGAAGGCAGGAAATCAAAGTCACAGACAGTGAGGAATCTTCTGAATATTTTATCTGTTTTTCTAAGCTGCTACAAGTGTTTTTCTCTTTCTTCTCTGTTAAAATTTTCCAAGACATATTCATTCAATCAATAGCATGACACATGAATTGGCTCTTGAGAGACAAAATAATGACTCATCCCTACATCATTTACTACAAACAGGAAATCTGTAAGGCTCGTTCACGACTCCAAAAAATTGATATCCAAAAAAAAAAAAAAAAAGAAATGTATTCTGCAGCAGATTACATCCAAGTATTATGTGCATATCATTCTGGCAATATTTCACCAGTGAGGAAATTAGCTTTCCTCTGAAATAACAAAGCCCACGGAAAAATGCGATGAATGGGGCATACAGCCTTAACCATGCTTCCTGGCTTTTTGACACTGAGAGTAACTCATCTTTCCTCTAATAATCAGTATAATGAGTATAATTATACAAACCCTCACACATGACGCGTCACATTGAGTCTGTACAAAATATACAATACCTTTATGTGTAGTTTTCAAAATTTATATTTTATACAAAAATGATAAAAAAAAAAATACTTTACAATGTCAAACCTTGGTATGGTTGGTAAGAGTGGGCAGATTGGGGTGAGGTACACAGGGAAAAATAGCTCACTTGTTATTCATGTGATTACTTTTTTTATTTATTTTAAAATTTATGTAAAAATTTTCATCTCTTTCTAAGGTGATAAAAGAATTCAGTACATTAAACATAAAACAATACAAAATAAGAATTTCATGTAAAAGTTATCTGAGACACTTTTGCCTGTGAGAGGGGGAAGGGGTCCTGTCTCCTCTCTGTGGCCTCAATAATCCGAGGTGTCTGAAAATATAAAGAGTCAATAATAAATGATATCCCCCTCTCTGTGGCCTCAATAATCTGAGGTGTCTGAAAATATAAAGGGTCAGTAATAAATGATATCCCTCTCTCTGTGGCCTCAATAATCCGAGGTGTCTGAAAATATAAAGAGTCAATAATAAATGATATCCCCCTTTCTGTGGCCTCAATAATCCGAGGTGTCTGAAAATATAAAGGACCATTTAAAATGAAATGTCCCTCTCAAAGGCCTCAATAATGTGAGGTGTCTGAAAATATAAAGGGTCATTAATAAATGATATCCCCCTCTCTGTAGCCTCAATAATCAGAGGTGTCTGAAAATATAAAGAGTCAATAATAAATGATATCCCCCTTTCTGTGGCCTCAATAATCCGAGGTGTCTGAAAATATAAAGGGCCATTAATAAGTGATATTCCCCTCTCTGTAATTGAAAATATTTATGGCCATGTAATTATGAAATTCCCATCTGGGGCCTCAATAATCCAAGGTCTGTGAAAATATAAAGGGCCATTAATAAATGAAATTCCCTTCTCTGGGGCCTCAATAATCCGAGGTGTCTGAAAATATAAAGGGCCATTAATAAATGAAATTCCCTTCTCTGTGGCCTCAATAATCCGAAGTGTCTGAAAATATAAAGGGGCATTAATAAATGAAATTCCCTTCTCTGTGGCCTTAATAATCCGAGGTGTCTGAAAATATAAAGGGCCATTAATAAATGATATCCCCCTCTCTGTGGCCTCAATAATCCGAGGTGTCTGAAAATATAAAGGGCCATTAATAAATGAAATTCCCTTCTCTGGGGCCTTAATAATCCAAGGTGTCTGAAAATATGAAGGGCCATTAATAAATGAAATTCCCTTCTCTGGGGCCTCAATAATCCGAGGTGTCTGAAAATAAAAAAGGGCCATTAATAAATGATATTCCCCCTCTCCGGGGCCTCAATAATTCGAGGTGTCTGAAAATATAAAGGACCATTTATAAATGATATTTCCGTCTCTGGGGCCTGAATAATCCGAGGTGTCTAAATGGGCCATTTCATATATCCTCTCTCTTAGGTTATTAATAAATGATATTTCCCTCACTAGGGTCTTAAATGATCTAATTTGTCTGAAAATATAAAGGGCCACTTAAAAATGAATGTCCCTGATCTCTAAGGCCTAAAAAATTCGAGATGACCGAAAATATAAAGGACAATTCAAAAATAATATTCCCCTCTCTGGGACTTCAATGATCCATGAAAATATAAAGGATAAATCCCTCTCTGTGGCCTCAATCATCCGCGTTGCCTGAAAATATAAAGGGACCATTTATTAATTTGTTGACTTACTTTTTCTCCAAAGAAAGACTTCAGTTTCCTCATGGAGGGTTTCTGGGGGGTAATCCTGAAAAAAACAAACATTATTAGTGTTTTTATTTTTATTTTAATTTGAAATGTACTATAGATTACATAAATGCACTTGTGTCAATATGTCATGACGGTGTGAACCAATGAAATCCAAGTTTACTCACTGAACATGTATCTCTGTCTGTGATTGGCTGGGAGAGTGTGTCTTGTCCAATGACAGCTTGTGTGAGTCCCTGTCCTTGGCGGTTGCCATGAGATACGATGTCCGTCGCTGCAATTTGATGGCCTCATCTTCAGGAGAGGCTGAAAATTAAAACAAATTTTTGTATATAGATTTACTGAAGAGAGGCAGGTAGAATTTCCTCCTTTTTGACTTCCTATAGAAAGTACATATTGGACTTGCCTCTGTTTACGTTTACTGACTTGTGTCAGACTAAATGTAGTACGTGTACCATTAACTCTCTGATTCATGTTGCAATACCACAGTTGAATGAAAATTTTTGATTTGTGTTCTATTTTTCTCATTTTTGATGCAGTTCCAATGTTTAAATTTACATTTTTCATTGGTGAACATAATTACTATATAACGGATATTTTTTACGTACTGCTAATTTTTACTAATTTTTACGAGTTTTATAAATCCGTAAAATTTAAACGTAAAATTTCACATAATTTATAAAACAGCTCGTCTAAATTTTCAACATCGTATGTGTAAAAGTAATGTTAATTGCCATTAAGCTCACTCCCTGGAGGCTATATAATTATACTGTTTGTATTTTGAGCACTTTTAAGTCAATCATCAATTGGGATCATGCAGGTAAATCTCAATTAACCTGTATAAATTGTACAAACATCATCAACTAATGAATGTTTAGTGACTGATAATGACTTAAAGGTCTTCCAATTATTGTGTTTTCAATCTTTGACACCTTCTTCTGTTTCATGTGCTTTCAAATTGAATAAAACTTCTTAATACACTGTACATGTATACTTTCACTTCAATTCTGATAGTTTGAGTTGTGACCACGTGGTGTGCCTAGCTATGTTGTATTAAACATGAATAAATGAAGGGTACATCATTCATGTATAGGTAAATGATAAAATTATGTCGTAGTACCACGGTGGAATAAACAATCATGACATCATTATGGACAGCACAGACAAACAGGAAGTTGACATCAAATTCATATCAAAATTAATCCCACCATATGGCATGCCTCGACAAAGAGTGTACTAAAATTTCAAGAATCTGCTATGGTTAGTTGATGAGAAAACTGCAACAAAAAAAATGTTATGTATGAAACGGACAGACGCAAAAACAAACAGGAAGTTGACATCGGATTTGAACAAAAATGTATCCCACGGTATGGCATGTCTCAGAGAAGATTGTGTTAAAATTTCAAGCATCTGTGATGAGAAGTTACCACGAAAATTTGTTATGTATGGAAGTTGATACGGATTTCTTTGACATTCAGATAAGATTGTGTTAAAATTTCAAGCATCTGGGACAAGTAGTTGCTGAGAAAACTGTGACAAAAATTTGTTATGTATGAAACGGACAGACGCAAAAACAAACAGGAAGTTGACATCAAATTTGAACAAAAATGTATCCCACCGTATGGCATGTCTCAGAGAAGATTGTGTTAACTTACTCTCTGAAAAATTTTTACGTAGACAGACAGACACACGTAGTACCACGGTGATACATAATGTAATTTGTGGCATTGTTTATATTGATATAATTTAATAAATCTCTCTCTCTCTCTCTCTCTCTCTCTCTCTCTCTCTCTCTCTCTCTCTTACATTACTCTCTGACACATTTTCGTTGTAAAGTGCTAACAATGGAATTGATGATGATTTTAATTTTTATTACATTAGTGTAAAAATTTTAATCACCTTTTTTTGACCAAAATTCGTAAAAATTTACAGCAGTAAAAATTACCTGTTAGACGGTATATACTTTCTGATATATATAGTAATAGTACCCCAGTGTACTTACTTTCTGACTTACGTCGTAGTACCACAGTGGAATTGATGTCTTTGATCGGAGAACTTGGAAGGAGAAGGTCGTCTGAGGTAGACACAGGCAAAACTACGAAGAAAATGAAGTACTTTTCAATATTGATATTTTCCTTAGAATTAGACGATTTTGTAAAAGTTTAGGATTTGATCTAAATCACAGGATTCAAAATAAAATTCTTAATGTTCATATCGTTTTTCTTCAGTATTGTATTCCAAATTGAATTGAAAAAAATTTGTCAAATCTATAAAATAAATAAAATGAAGAGTTATATTAATCACCAAAAAATCTGAATCGCTATTTTTATTAATCATTATGATAGTGATTAATGGTTAATTATCAATTTCTCATATTTACAGATACAAATTTTCATGTGTTTTTAGTATTTTCTTCTTTTATTTACAGTTCTAACATGTCTAAGTAACTATTAAAATCTTACAGTAAATTAGTACCAGTGATGAAACATATGAAAAATTCCATTAAATAAATGGGGTGGGTGTGGGGGTGGGGGTGTCAGCAAATGTTTATTCTTCTTTACTTGTGGGTGAAGCATACATGTAATAGTATATTTTATAAATTTTGTCTCGTAAAATTAATATTGCCAAGACTTCTAATTATAAACAGAGACCTGTGAATGGTACATGATAATACTTTAACTTTTTTTACCTGGGGAAAAGGGGAGATCTTGTAATATACTGCCATTCAAACATAAGGGTTAAAAATTACCAGTGCAACATCATTCAATGTTAGCAAAATACAGTTCGTGCAAGTGAGTTTTCCTGGGCCAGTATTAGAGACGAAACTATTTAGCTTTGACCAAAAACAAATCATGCAACACAAGTTAGATTATTTGCGGATTTATACTTTTAGGTTTTTTTCTCAGTACGACGGTCTGTGCTGGTTCCTTGACTGGGGTACTAGTCAGTGCTATTTCCGTACAAATAGAGCTGGCGAAAACATCTGGAAAAGAACGTGGCATGACGGCTAATATGTAGGAACTTAATTCTCAAAAACAGTCTTCATCACATTCCCAAGCTTTTTATTGGCTTTAAATTCTCTAATCAGGCCACTTACTAGGAAGAATTTGATTGATCTCCATTATATGAATAAAATACAAATTCAAATTTTTCATCTGGATAAAATTTCGATGAATTTTCATCTAAAGAGATATTGTGGACTTTAAAGTTTGCTTTTTCGAAAGATATCCTAATTATTCAGTATACTAAGTCAAGTAAAAAATTTTGTCTTGGATTTAAGTTTGTTGATTGTTAACAAAGAAATACTGTAGTAAGCGAAATTAAATCAAATTCCCCAACAAATATTTCTGCATTTAATATATATCTATGCCATGACAAAATGATTTTTGTTCAATGAAATGACTAATTGCTGAATACAGGAAGTCTGTAACGCTACATGTAATGTCCTCTTCCCTGATGCTAGTCTAGAACTAGATTTATTTTGAATTGAAGAAGACATGGAAACTTGACCTTTGAGACAGGTGGAGTGTTGTTGTATTGGCTCATAAAGACTGTTAAATAGCCACCATATAGAGCCAAAGACAGGATTTTTTTTTAACCTTCTACAGCAAAACTCGGTTATAACGAAGTCACTGGGACCCATGAAATTACTTCGCTATATCCGTAATTCGTTATAACCGTATAAGAAATTCATTAAATTTATATAGCTGGGGATCTAAGATGACTTCGCTATATCCGTAAATTCGCAATATCCGTGTTCGCACTAACCGAGTTTTGCTGTACCAACAACCGGTGGATTTTCAGAAAAAACATTCTCCAAGGGACGTAATTTTAAAGTAACAGAATATAACCACTAAAGTATCTAAAATCTAAAACTATGAATATTTATTTTTGTCCACAATAGCAGATAGAAATTTAATGATTTATAGCCTGTAGCAAGAAAAGGGAAGGCAAGCATCCATGCAAACTGAAAAAATAAGCTAAACTTCCATTTTCACATATTGATGAGAAGATGCAAAATTTGAAGACAGGAACATCTACGTCAAAGCAAAAACTAGAGACTTGTCTGAACAGGAAAGACCTTTACCCATTCTCTTCCCCAAAGACAACTTCACAATCAAACTATGCATCTCATTAAGCTTCCACAGTATCAGGATAACTTGGAAAGTTTAGTTTGAATCTCTTTCAGATAATAAATGAAGAAAGTCTCATAACATAACACATCATCCACAGACAGACACATGTGCATGGTAAATTTTAACACCCCCACCCCATTTTTTTTTGTCCTTCCAGAAATACAAATAATTCTCCATGTCTAGCCCCCCTCAGCTTACTAAATTTGCCCAAAGAGATTTCATGGTTTTCTTTGAATTTGGCCTTTTTTCAATTTTTTGAAAAGAGGGAGGGGCGATTTCCCATCATACAGTACATCTATAGTGACTGCTCACAACAGGAAGGTACACACTCCACACCTTGAGGAACTATTTAACTATTGTAATTACCTTGTTCTGAGGAGCTGGGGGGGAGACTTCCCCAGGGGGGAGGGGAATGATTGACGTTTGAGAACCTAATTAATTAATGAATTACCTGGTTCTGAGGAGAAGGAGCTGGGGGGTAGGGGACTTCCCCAGGGGGGACTGGAATGATTGACATTTGAGGAGCTAATTAATTAATGAATTACCTGGTTCTGATGAGAAGGAGCTGGGGGGTAGGGGACTTCCCCAGGGGGGATCTGAAATTAACAATAAGTTTGTGTGCTCTGGACTAACAGTCATTTATGCTCTGATAAATTAAATGGTCACAGAATCTGAAATTAACAATAAATTGTGTATTAATTATAACAGTCATTTATATCAATCTGATAAAGTAACCAGTTGCAGAATCTGAAATTATGACCATAACTTGCCTACCCGGTAACTAACAATGATTTACATCAAAAACATTTTACCCCGCTTGATCTTTATTTAAAATATGCTCACTTTGATATACCAATTTTAGAGGAAATATTGTCTTATTGTCTATGCTAAAATTAAATTATAAGAAATGAAGCTTATTTTAACCTATGTTAAACAATATAACATAACTTTGGGTAGTTTAAGCTTTATAAAGCCATAAGGTACTTAAGTTCAATGTAAACACATGGTAAATTGCACTGAAAAAATAATTAAAGAAGAAACTGTGTGAATTCTCAGGAAATATTGATGATATGACTCTCTATCATACTTTTTCTTAATTTAGTTGTTAAATTTCTCTTCTATAAATTTAATACAATTTTAATTTATTTAGACTTTGCTCATACAAGGTGGAAATAGAGGACAGATTTTATTATTAATAAGTTCAATACACATACAAGTACATATACAGCTATTCTTCCTTGAACTAAGTACTTATTCAGACTAAAGTCATCTGTACTTGTACTAACAGGGAAAATCTCAAAACATCATGTAAAAGGAATTCACTGATTTCAATTAAAACTATAAAGGCATATAAAACCTTATAAAGTATGTTTTAAATTCTATAATTTTGACAAACAGAGTTAAACACTGTTTATAAGAAATTTAAAACATTATAATACTGTTTATCAACATTTTAGAATTTAAACATGTTTTATATGCCAAACAAAAGCATTTGTTGTTCAGCAAGATCACATTTTTTCAAAAGGTTGTCATGTGTATTTGCAACTTTCAATAAATTATTATAAACTGTGGTCATTGTTTGTCAAAGAACTTATAAATTAGCCTAGTCTATGCAATCTAAAATAACTTCTCGAAACAAAACTCAAAATTTCATAATCAACAACAAAAAATACTTCTGGATTATAATACATTTTTTTTAAGTTTTGACACTCTCCCCAGACTTCTCACAATATAATCTACATTGTGTATATATTATACATTTTGTATTTATTATAAACTGATCTCAAGTATGTCTGTAAACAATGGAACAAAAACTTAATATCCATAAAGACAAGTACCATTTAAAGTACAAATTAAGACTTTGCTCTGAATTTTTTTTTTTTTTTCGGATTTGCGGGCTGCAAAGAAAGATTTTTCTTTTGTTGATTTATGTGGGCCTTACACAGTCAGTTATCCTGTTATATAATCTACGTTATATATGACCTTCAAACGTTCGAAGGACTTACCTGTGTGTCGTCAACACATATCTTTAAATGTCAAGTGTCTATCGCATTAGATGTGTGGTTCAGAAAATATTAAAAAGAATAGGGTGTTCACAGAGGAAAAATTAATTAATTTAAAGTTTAAAAAAAGACCCTGCTTGATGAAATAAATGTACTAACTGGTACATAAAAAAGCCACAACATGGATTCAATATTAAACTGAATATGCATGATTAACATAAATATATAACAAGGAACTCTCAAAGATAAAACAAAATTCTAAAATTGGATCAACATGAACATGAATTAAACCAGAAACCTTCAAATATGGACTCAAGATTTCTCTCCGACAATTCGAACACTCGCTCTGGTGACTCTAGGATTCGCTCTGGTGAATCAAGGTCTCGCTCTGGTGATTCTAGGTCTCGCTCTGGTGACTCTAATATTCGCTGTGGCGACTCCAGCATACGCCCTGGCCAGGCGTCGGACGGTACTAACCCCAGACCTACATATATTTCCTTCATTTTCAGATCAAACAGATCCAGTATGTTGTCACAGTCTAAAGCCATTCTCCCCAACAGCATCGCTTTCTTATGTTTCTGACAGTTATCTCCAATTACTTTTTTTTTTTTCGCTTTTTAAAATATTTCAAATCAAGACATTTCAGGTGTCAAAAGGGGTAATTTAAACAAAAACACTGCAATGTTTGTTGACCAATGGTTATTATGCATTCCGCACATGTTCAAAATACTTGAACGTACAGCCTTCATTATCTTTGAATACAGACAAATTCATTGGGCTACTTTCACCTTGGTTGTAAAAAAAGCTTGACTTTAGTGCAGTGCATGTCCTGTAAATATCTTTGAAGTCACTGAGATCACATCATAATTAGTCCTTGCATAACAATAGTCTTTTTTGGAAAGATAATTCCAGGTACACTAGTAATCTAATATATTGTAATCCCGTTACAAAAATTGGCAATAAAAACCCACAACGTTCACCATGTTCACAAATGAAATTTTCTACACACACTACATAATTTCTCCGTCATGTCTTCTCTTATCAAAGCGAATTACACAATGTTAACACACAAAAAAAAAGAATTCAAAGTCGTAACATTTGGGTGAAGCATAAATCACAAGGCTGAGGTCACATTAAAAATCCTGTCTAAGTTTTCCTTCCCTTTCTGTCAGACAAAACAAAACACGATAATTTCACATGTTGATCCCATCTTGTATTTCGATAGACTAGCACTTGTCAAATTCAGTCTGTACGCCAGCGTAAAAGGGCATATATAACTAAACGCGCATCCTTCCTTATAAAGGCCAAAAATACAAAACATATCTAACCATGCTACAATCCAATGGATGGATCAGCATTAACTTTCTCAGGGTCTCTCTCATTCTTACAATAGAGTTGGTCTGAATGTAAAATAGCAATATGATTCATCCTAATGGTTAAAATAACACTTTTTTCCCCTCTAGCCCGAGAAAACCATATAACACACATAAAGCATATGGTATTGCATTTCATTCAGGAAATTTACAACAGAAAAAAAATTCAAATTCATTCAAGTACACCCAGCTGAATTAGATTCACTTTCAAAGTGAAAGTAAATTTATACACAGTAATGATGATAAATTAACCATTTATTACCATTTATTACCATACACATGATATAGGTCTACAGAATTTAAATAAATTTATATCTCTGCTGACATGAAGCTGCATATAATATATAGTAAATTTTGCATTAATGAACATATATATATTAATCACAAGACTACTAATTTAATTTTTTATTTAAATGTTTTATGAAATCAATAATATTATTCATTTTGTTGAGTTTGTATAGGTATGATGTAGATCCACATCAATTGTCTCTCTCCCGAGCTTAAAATTACTTTATGAATGATTAATGCATGTACCATGTTTTGCAACAGCAAAATAAAAATGAACAATACTCAGATCTGAAGTCCATTCTAAAACAACTGCAAACCCAGATTTTGCTATTATATATCTGGAGCCCTGTTCAGGGTTCAGGGTAAACTATGTATTCAATTTTGTTTCGTCATAATACCTTTAAATATCTATTTTTATTTTAGTTTTTGGGATGACAACCCAATTTTTTCAATTGGATGAAAATTTTTTTTCATGCATCATAATTAATGAAAATTGTCAGAGAGGGATAAAAGAGAGAGAGGGGGGCCTGGAGATGAGAGAGAGAGGGGCCTGGAGATGAGAGAGAGAGGGGCCTGGAGATGAGAGAGAGAGGGGCCTGGAGATGAGAGAGAGGGGCAGGAGGATAGAGGAGAGAGAGAGAGGCAGGAGGAAAGATGAGAGAGAGAGGGGCCTGGAGATGAGAGAGAGTGGGGCCTGGAGATGAGAGAGAGAGGGGCCTGGAGATGAGAGAGAGAGAGGGGCCTGGAGAGAGAGAGAGAGACTGGAGATGAGAGAGAGAGGGGCCTGGAGATGAGAGAGGAGAGAGAGATGGAGATGAGAGAGAGAGGGGCCTGGAGATGAGAGAGAGAGGGGCCTGGAGATGAGAGAGAGGGGCCTGGAGATGAGAGGGAGAGGGGCCTGGAGATGAGAGAGAGAGGGGCCTGGAGATGACAGAGAGGGGCAGGAGGAAAGAGGAGAGAGAGAGCATTGTACATTACATAGGAGCAATTATATCAGCTAGAATCTATTTCCATTTCCCCTCCTTCTCTTCCCCTCTCTCTTTTCCTCTCTATCTCTTTCCCTCCCCATCTCATCACTACTGACAGTAAAACTATTCTTTATCCTAAACACAATCAAAGGGCAATAACTCTAACTACTTAATTTAGAATTATAAACAGCATACTGGACTTCTACGAGAAGTGCTGACTTGTACAGTTGATGAATTACTCTCACACTAGGACAGTGTATGGAAGCTCTTTTACGATGTAAATAATTAGCTCAGCATTTAGTTCAGGAGAATAACCGGCTATTTTAAAGGACAGATAAGTTGTCCTTGAAGAAGACGACAACAATCCTATCCTCAAATATAGGCTTTCACATATAAGTGCCCCTAACACAATTACTTTGACCACTAGAAAGGTTTTTCTATCCATTATCAATTCTGTACCTCCGTAGATGATACAGGTTTAAATGTCCAAGTAAAAAGTAAACTGTAAAAGTCAGCCCTTCTCGTAAAAGTCCACTACTAAATACTTACATCGTTGTTGAGAGCCATTTATAGCAGCTAAAAAGGAGGGTTTTCGGACAGGTTTAGAAGAATGGCTGCCCTCTTCGTCTTCTTTGTGTCGACTCAGTGCCGAGCCGTCGATGTCATCCGACTGCTTGATATGAATGACAGGCTGTGATGTCACTTCCTTTGGGGAGGTCACAGTTTTATTGCCACTGTTCGGGTACATAGGAACTATTTCAACTATAGGAGAGCCCGAAGTGTTCCCTGACCCCTGTGAGACATAAATTCTGATTGGTGCAGATTCTTGATAAGGCGTTTGAGAGGGATGATTTGATTGGACTGAAGATTCTGGTGGCATGGAAACACAGCGTTCTTGTGAGGAACGCCTCCGGATTCGAATGTTTGAACTCGGTGGTGTGTCTTCCTTCTCAAAACTCTGCACTCTGGTGGCGACACTGCTGAACTTCCCGTGAGACGTGATCTTATCAATTTCCGTTTTGTAGCAATCCACAGGCGGTTTGGGCGGAATCTGGTCACTTTTGCCATTTTCAAACATGAATTTTTTCTGGGAGACCACCCGCCCTTGTTCAACACCCTCAGACATTGGAGATCTGGTCAGCGCGAAGGCTGTGCCATACCGCGGGACTTGTTTGGCTGCGTTTCCTGTTAAGTCACTTTTGGTATTCCCCTGACTAACCCCCCCTTCGTAATGTCTGTCCCCGATTTTCACAATAAACGTCCTTCCTCCCCCTTGCTGTGGTTGCTCGTATATCCGTGTTCGGACTTTTCTCTCCGGAGTGTGATAACTGGCACTGGAGTCTAAGCTGTCAACACTTGCCGACATTTTGTGCGGCATCACTGACGGTTGAGCTGAGACCACTGGGATATATTGCCTTGTTGTCGTGTGGTACTCAGACTTAGAATTCGATGTGTTTTGTAATCCTGATGACAAAGATGAAGAAGTCCGACTCGAAATGGAGTCAGGAAAGCTATGACGTGAAGATGTATACCCTGTTTTGTCCTGAGTAATCTCCCTTGAATGTCTATTCTCCAGGGGGATAACTCTAGTCTGACTAACGTTGGATTTAGAAATATTTTCCTGAGAATCGGTGGGGTGAAGCACGTGCTCCTGACGGCGCGGCACGGACGACGTCAGATCGCTGGCCGATCGGGTCTTATCGTTGTAAAATAATCCAAAAGAATACGCTTTATTTGGGGGCATCTCTTGATTTTCTTTGGCTCGTGTCTCGAAATCCATCCTCCGCTCCGAGAACTCTCGCGAGGGGGATTCCCGGATACCGCCCCCCGCGGAATTCCATGGCTCACGAAAAACACTGAGTCCCGAGGTGTAAGAAGTCGAGGTCTTTAGTTTACTTGGGGGATCCATGCTTTTAACAAGAATCCTGTCCTCTGACTTTGGAGCGATTTCTTCTCGAGCTAGAAGAGACCTCGGTCTTTCACGTAGATCATCACTCGAAATAAACTTCCTGGGAGAAAATGACACAGTTCTGCCGTCGTTTGGACTTTTACAGGTCTGGAAGTAGAAATGTGGATGCTTTATAGCCTTTAAATGTTACATCTGATAAACCTTTCCCTATCTAGATACACAGAAATCTATGATTAGTTGTGTAAATTAGATAAATGATACAAGAAGAGTTAATCACACTTTACAGGTAACTGCTCTACCTGCCATGTGCTGGGACATATCTAAAATTCAAAATACCGTAATTTCGGGAATATAGGTCGACTTTTACAAGTCTGGAAATAGAAAATAGATGCTTTATAGCCTTTAAATGTTACATCTGATAAACCTTTACTTTCTAGATACACAGAAATCTATGATCAGTTGTGTAAATTAGATAAATGATACAAGAAGAGTTATACACACCTAACAGGTAACTGCTCTAACTGCATGATTCACGTCAATCATTAATATATATAGTGTTACACATAGAACAAACAATGTCGTGAAATTCATGTTGAAAGTCACTCTCAATTAAAATTTATTAATTATAGTGTTAATATGATTTCAATTCTTTACTGTTGCTTGATATATACATTCAGTGGTCTCGTGTTTTACCTCCACCAAAATAGGTTTTCCCATTGCTGTAAAATAATAAATATTATGTTGATTTAACAACAGTGTGAAACTACGGAGGCATTGAACAGGCAAGTTGGAGAAAAATAAGTAGTTACACAATTCAAAGAAGTTTTAACTACATTTTTTTTTTACAAAACAGTATTTAATTGCTGTACTCATTAAAATACCTGTTTATTTTCTTCATACGTTCATGTCACGGAATAACCCCTAATTTTGTTATGATACGTTGATTAAAATCTTAAGAAAACGGGAAACAAAGCCTCGTCCTATATGGTAAATACAAATGAGCCTTTCGACCTATATGATACATTTACAGGTTTTCATGTGTACCTTATTTGGAAGATCTTTTAATGATCTAGTGACAAACTGTCAGTAATTTTCCTCCCAATGTTATGTAGATTACATAAACAGTTGGTAAATACAAATTGATACATTTACAATAATTCATAAAGTTACTTAATTCCCTTTAAATGATAAATACTGTATTTGTAATATGTGATTCTTTACGTTACTTGACCATACAATAATACCAGCAGAAAAATTTGGAATTTTCATGTTAATGTGTGGGTTGCATAACCTCAAGGAAAATTCCACAAAATTCTTAGTTAGAACAGAGCTTTAAAATTTAATTAAAGAAAGAGACTGAAAACTTGCAGTATATAGGCAAAATGAAAAAAAAATATATCAGCCCTCCTTCACAAAATGGCATACCAAGGAACAAATTATTTCCTAAATGTTATTTATAATAAGAATATAATATTGTTGACCATGCATATTGATCCTTCTTAATATGCCTAATTTTGAGCCGCCCTGTAGACTCACCAAGAGATCTGTCTCCTGTTCGTCGTCGTCTTTTGGCAGCACCTCTAGTTTTAAGATCCCCTCGCTTTGCTGTATCAGTCCGATCACCTGAGCGTAAGACTTCTGGGATACTGGCTGATCGTTCACGGTTATTACTCGATCACCAGTCTTTAAACCTGCGTTGTAAGCTGGACTGTAGGTCCGGACATTTTTAACGAAGATGGTGTCCGTAGGATCCACGAAACTAAGACGTTTGTAAGAGGTACCTGTAATCAGCAAAATTCAAACATGAAAGGGACCCGGAGTGAGGATAATTATAATGTAGATGAACTTAATGACTAGCCTATGATCACATTAATCAATCAGGATGGCATAAAGACAGAATGTGTAATTGAGAGTAAACACTTTGAGGACTCAGATTCATGCAGAGATTGTTTCTAAGCCATTAGTTATAATGATCTTCAATGTGTTTACATTAATTGAAACAAAAACTTCCAATCCTTAAATAAGTTTGTTTTTTATCAACACATTCATCTAATTTTTCCTCAAATTTTGTAAATTGTGTGTATAAAATACAGCTATTATAGCATCAGAATAGATTCAAATTATAAAGTTTTAACACTTATAGAAACAAAAGTAAATAATCTCCCTATCTCCTTTAAGTCAGGCGAGAATTACTATGTTTGACAAAGTACAAAATATTTCTTACAGAAAACTACCTGATGGGGGTGTCAAACATTATCTAGATAATCAGATTACATCCTAAAACTGAACCACAAAAATGTCAGCTATGGCCAGAAATCTGTGACAGAGGTCATTGAAGTATTACTACAATTGTGTTTAAAGGGGAATAACTCTGCCAAGACAAACACCGTCTACCTCCTTCTAATTATCTTTTCTTGACTTCCTTGATCATATTAATACTGTATTCAATTTCTACTTTTTAAAATGGCCATATTTAAATGATGAATCCAGCAATTTTTAATGACATTTAGGTACAAATTGAATGTTTGAAACTCCGAGCAGTTAAAATGCCAATAATATTTGCCTTAAAAAAAAACTTTAAAAGCAAATGATTAAGTATATTAATGTGGGAAGATAGTCAAGAATTTTAAGAATTATAGTACATACCCTGACTTCTGTTGTCATTTTTGTCTCTTTCTGTATTCTACAACACCAAACACCAAACATATAAAAGAAATTTTTGCATTAAATTTTTAGCAAATAGAACATTCGCAAAAAATTTTTCAAATTGAAAATGTAAACAAAACATGATAACGTAAAAGTGACCTTACTGAATTATAGTCTCCTGACATTTAGTAAAACTTTGAAAAAAAAAACTAGAAACATGCAGTCCATCAACTTTTTACAAAAAATTTGATTAGGTTTAATTGATCTGTATTTTTTGTCTAATTAAAATCAGATAAATTTAGGAGAAGCCTGACTCAGGGAAATATACCCCCTACACACAAGTTTCCTTTATTGTACATTGAGAATGATGAGAGTTTGAATGGGATGGGGTGGGGCTTATACCTGCTGTATTAATTAAGATTGTAAAAACAATGCTATTAAGGAGTGTTTAATTTTGTTTTTGTTTTTTTACCATCATGTTTATTGGATCGTATTCAAAAACCATCTCATCCCACACAGCAGAATATACAGCCAGCTTTAGAATAAATTGCTAGCTTTAGTATACAGTGACTGTTGCAATACACATTGTATAATCATACTATATAAATCTGACACTGTGTTGTCTTGAACTCTGTACACCTTCTGTCTTTCTCCAGTTCCTGCCAGCTGTACAGCATGGTCTGATGCCAACACCTAATGGATTAGTTCTGGTGTAACACACCAATGTTTGTGAAGGTCACCTTGTCAGGCAGTGAACTCGAATGACCTGGAAATCCAACATAGATCACATTCCTATAGGTCTGGGACAGCTTACACAGGGGAATGTTTTAATGTCTTCATAGTTTGGAGTTAGTCTCATGTCTGCCTAGGCTCTTGGGCAATCATCAACTACTTATTTCTCTGGCCCTGGGGTAATAAAAAGGCTTACTCCTGCCCTGACCCAGGGATAAGGAAAAGTCCTACTCCTGCCTAAAACCTTTGGGGTAAGGAAATGTCTCACTCCTGCCCTGACCCTGGGGTAAAGAAAAAGCCTCTATCACCTGAGCCCAATGGGATCAAAACCTTTGGCCTAGAAGAAAAAGCTTCAATTTTACCCAGGACTCAAGGCAATCATCTAAGATATATTTTTTTTCTATAATAATAATTAAGTTAAAAGACGGCAAAGAAATAAATAATTTCATTATTGATTTACAAGCAAGGTACACATATAAATGGGTGCTCCATGATCTTCCTTGAGCCCAATTTTTACATAGTGATATTACTGATGTTTCTGGTTCAGCCATGGAATGTCTGATCCATTGAGTAAGGATCATGTTTTAACAGTTTGATATTTTGGCATATCATAGACAACATATCCCCTCTGGAATGATCAACAGACTAGTATCTCTTCATACATATCTCTACCATTGAAAATCCTTTCATCTTATTTTCAAAACTTTGTGAAATTTGTTTGAAGATAAAAAGAGAGCAGGGTTTGACTTTAAATCAAGAAAAAACTCTCAGATCACCCTGATCTTTCAACCGTATCTTTAAAAATCTTGGTTCATCTTCCTTAACCTTTGTTATCTATGTGATAAGCAACCTTAAAATTTTTAACTTCAATCGCAACCAAAACAAACTCAAGACTAAACTTAATTTTTGTACCTTTTTTATAAAATCAACGGTGGTGGATCCCAGATTTTTTTAGCAAGAAGGGAAGGGGAGGGGGGTATTAGATGTGGTAATAAGAGGGGAAAACAGTCTAATGAGGGACCTTGGAGGCAAAGGCACAGTAATGTAATTTCATAAATTCAACAATTAGAAAACCTGACAGTGCAACCAGAAGGACGCATTAACATGCATATTCATGAATGAAATTTCACTTTTATTTGAAGAATTTTTTTTTAATTCTTGAGGGGCTGCATGGTAGAAGTGCCCCACAAAAATGTGTGCCTGAAAATGCATGCTGACAACAAATGCCTATTTAGAGAGAACTTACTCTATCTGTTTTATTGGCAACGATTTGTTTTCTCCAAAACCTTAAAAGTGCCCCCAAGAAATATCATGAATTTCAAACTCTTCAATGTGTCTCTATCTGTCTATATCATGAATACTTTTGTTTTGACTCATAGATAGATCTACATATTATTATGGGTTCAGTGTGTCTGAAATATCCTTGAGAACTTGAAGCATTTCAAAGATTAAATTTCTCACCCACCATTAAATGTCAAACTTGCTGCCAAAAAAATACATAAGACTTGCTGATGATTTTGAAATCTTAGATAAGATGAGGTGAAAGTATCAAGATCTGAAAAATAAATGTTTTATGAATCAACCCAATAAAATCTTAAATATCTTCCTCTAAAAGACAATTAAAACTAAATCACCATGGCTGATACATAAAAGTTTTATCTTTTGAGGAATGATGCTAGAAAACCATGAACCAGGTCCAAAAAAAACATTCAAATCTGATGAGGATTTTTTTGGGGGTAAAACAACTTAACACATGCTTTCAGCTATAATCACTTAATGCACAGAGCACATATGGAACAGAAACTTCAAAACACTTTGGATTTGTCCCATCTCCATTCTCTGCGATTTTAGCATTGCTCTTCAAGTGCCAACACATTGGGTACAGATGCTTTATAAAGCAATATCAGAGTGTAGACAATCTGAACCATCACACATTGCTAGCCTTGTAAAAGACGTTTTGTCAAAATATTTTTGTAAAGGCAGATTTTCGCAAGTTTTAGGGGAAAAAAATGAAACGGGTTGTGGAAATTAGATTTCATGGATGAAATTATTGTGACAATGTATAGTTTTGTACATAAACATTTAATTTACATTTCTTGGTCAGGCCAAGCTTAAAAAATTCTTTGTTTGCAGTTGCCGACCTATAATTTTTAGACTTGGTCGGTAGGTAGGCATTCTTTTTTTTTTTTTTTTTTTTTGGAAAAAAAAATCAGATTAGATATTACAATTAAGACATTTTCATACACCTACTAGACATGAATAAGCTCACCTCTTGTTATAACTGAATGATAAAAATGTGTCAAAATTTGAAAACGAAACTGTTTCAATATTCTGAAAAAGTAAAAAAAAATCAAATTACCAAATGGCTAAAAAAAAGTTTGGGTCGGGTGCATTTTCAGTGGGTCGGTCGGCAACTGCAAACGAATTTAATTTTATTTTAGGCCTCAAATGAACTCGTGCGAGTCTCTTAAACCACTAGAACAACAAAAATTAACCCCATCCACCCCCTAAAAAATGTGATTTCACCACAACTGACCAGTCAGGTCATAAGAATGTATAAATGTGATGTGGAAGGGAGGGAGGGGGGGACACTATACTCAGGATTTAACCCATCATAGCAGTGTAAAAAGGGATAGAAAATAAAATAAAAAGGGATAGAAATTAAAATACCTAAAATTGCAAACTTTGTTGAAGACAATTTCTGATAATAAATTGAGCAACCATAACATTGGGTGGGTTAATACAATCTGTGTGTGTGTGTTGTGGTCTGGTGGGGTCAGGGAGGGGGGAGGGGGGTTGTTGACCCACCTGTTCCTGTGCGGCAGTGCTGGAGGGGTAGAAGATAAAATGCCTGAGGGTGAAGCCGTAGCCCTGCTCTGTTTTAGGGATCAGGATTGTCTTATGTACCGGCCATCGGGTCACGACTATTCCAGGATCACCATCGCTCTGTCAAAAGAAAAGATAACTCCGTTAAAACAATGAAATTATGATTATTTTACTGTTATATGTAAGTTATTAACTATTTATTTCATATATATTCCTATTATTAAAAGAATGTGTATTCAAGACCGATGCAGAAGTGAATTCAATTTTATAGTCAAGTACACTGAATACCAAATAAAGTCAAAATGATTAATCAGACAAACTGACGACCCAGAAATTGTCTATCAGTCCTTCATGCTCTTTGACCTTGTTGTAACATTTAAAGCAGCTCTCAATTTTGAACCATAATTTTTCACTGAATATGACTTAGATGAAAACCAGTAAACCAAATTAAGTAATCTGATAATTAGAACCATATGATGAACTTGACAAAAGCATTCCATGACAATAAAAAAAAATCTTCCTCTACCCACAAATATTAGCTCAGAACAATGAAATCAACCACTGGATAAATTTGATTTTCCCTGTCTTCTGAATTGTTATTATTCCTACAGACAAATCCCACCTACAATCCAGTCAGAAGTTTTTATTAAAAGTGGAAAGAAATTACTCCTGTAATTAAAAAGCAAAAACAAATAAAAATTTCACAAATCGAGACAAACCCACTTACCGAATCATCATCACTCATTTTCGATTAAAATAAAAGTGAGATTCGTTTTAGAAACGACGTCTATAATCACCCTCAAAAATCACGAAAAAAGAAAGACGTCGCCAGAAACCCGTGTCAGCAGGAAAAGAGTGGATAGAAATGTCCACCCACGTAACATCCGTGTGGATAACAGAAGGGGGGCGTGACTCAGGGACGAGGTATCCCAGGTATCCGTCACATCTCGGCTGTGGAGGAGTGAAAGAGAGAGAGGAGAGAATGCCAAACAATCAGCTCGTCGACTCAGTGTTTGTCAAACTATTACGTGAGAAGCTACTCATCTCTCTCTGATCTCAGCTGATGTTATGCCATGAATGTCCCTCAATGTGGGGAAAATAAATATATATATATATATATATAGAAGCCTGCAATCGTAGCGATTGTATTTTCTCACCATATTTACATCCCAGCGACATTGATCTCTTGCAGTGAAGAACCGGAGAAGGGGGGTTATTATTGTCATAAAACGTAACTTATTTTTAATGGGGGAACATGAGGCTAAGTCATCCTTCGTCAATCCTCAAGACTCAATATTTTTCTTATTAATTACAGGGGAAATAATCTGATTGCATGTTTGGTGCAGCGTGTAGATAAAAATGGTACAATGACGTGAGAACAGCAGATGTTGAGGCAATCTTCCATGTTCTCAGAAACCATGGCAGTCAGCAGCAGTAGGGTTAGGTTACGTTGATGACAAATGAAAAGTACTCACTCACACACCGATCAGCTATCTGCTACTGTGATGTAATAGACATTTAAGCTGTTTGGGGAAAGGGAGAGGGGATAAGGATGGGGGGTGGGGGGTTGAGTAAATTTGTATTATTTAGAAGTCGAAGATTTCAGTCTTCTTTAAATTGTAAGAGACTGACTGAGATTTGCCCAATAATGTTCAATTTTCTAAAAATCACTAGGAGGGTTATACAGGCCATTGGCTACAATGCTCCCTCATGTTCAGTTTTATTACCCATCCCCCCTCCCCCCCACCCAAAAAAAAATAATAAAATAAAATGTATGTGCAGACATTAATTATTGAAATCAAGTTTGATTTGTATGAATTATCAGCATTTTCTAACTCTGATATACCGGTCACGGTAGCCTAGTGGTAGAGCGTTCGCTTCGTGATTGGGAGGCCCGGGTTTGATTCTCGATCGCGGCGCCGCGTCATACCTAAGACGTAAACATAGGTAGTGACTGTTCCTTCGCCAAGCGCTCGGCACTAGAAGTGAAAGTCACGGGTCTTTCGGATATGACCTTAAAAACGTAGGTCCCATGTCATGGTAGGCGTTTGCACGATAAAGAACCTTCACCGCTCAATGGCCCTGAGTGCCGAGTATAGGTCTAAATTTGAAGCCCTTCACCGGCATCGGTGACGTCTCCATATGAGTGAAAAATTCTCAAGAGGGACGTTAAACAATATACAATCAATCAATCTAACTCTGATACTAAACTACTTATGAAGTTTGAAATACTAACAATAATTTTAATGCCATTTTTTATATTAAATAAATATCACTGACTTGGGAAGAATATAACTCTATTAAAAAAACAATACATTTATGAAGGAAAGAAAAGATTAATTAAACCAATATTCAATTAAGCCTCTATCAATGAGTATTATGTTTATGATTCAAATATAGAACTCTGATCACTGATCAAAACCAACTATTATCACTGAATAAACTTAAGAGACTATCAATGTACATCTTTTTCTGTTATTGCAAGCATGCATAAAAAGAGACCTCTGGCTGCGAAAACAAAGATATTACTTAGGATGAAAGAGAAACACGTTCTAAGCCCCATCATGAATCATCCTGAGAAAACAGCAAATTTACCTCTACACTGGCACTCTATTCTCACCTTTACTTAATAAACTTTAGCAGGTTCCTATTGCATTTTCCCCTGAACAATTATGGATGTGACATTTCTACCTTAAAAGTTAATTAAACTCTGAAAATCTCTAAATTAACTATACCAGTACTGTAAAAACACATTTTTCATGAGGTCATATTTTCGAGGTTTCTCAAGAGTATAATAAATAAGTAGCATTTAGCCCAGATCTCTTTGTGATCTCCCTTTGATCTCCTCAATGACATTCTATTTTGACATTCTTAAAGCTTTGAAGCCTGTTACTAAATAAAAATCTCATCTCAACATTTCCCAACGTATACCATAGATCACTACTTAGTTTTTCAGAAAAACTAATATTTTTACGATATATACATGCAGGTGCTTTAAGTGTAATATATGAGAGACATTTTCATGAATTCTTGATTTGTTGTTTATTAACTAAATTTAGCCAATAAAATGATGACAATTTAATGAGCTGACTTATTCAGTAATCAATTTCTCAAAGAATGTCTATTAAGTGAGAAGAAACTTGCATCCTACATATTTCTCAAATGAATCCAAATACAGTGTTTTAACACTAGCTTTTACCTTCCAAACACAATATGTGGGGAATATCATTTACGTTTAATGACAGAATATAAAAGGTGTGTTTCAGTCTCATCCATATGCTTTTAATTAATCCAGACAGCTAGCTTGGGAGTGAGTGATGCATCTATAGATTGACAAATGTTCCTCGACTATTACATAGTTTACTGAATAACATTGTGTCTTGAACAGGATGCTTATTGCAGACCACAATGCATTCTCAGCTTGAATCATCTGAAGTACTTAGTATTAAAAACAAATGTTTACAGAAGCTATATACCACTTCATTATTTAACACTGCACCCAACAGCCCCCAAAAAGATGACAGATTCATTTGATTAAGTAACTCGATCCTTCCAAAAGATTGGACCAATTAACCATCCAAAAACAAACATCCTCTTTGTCTTAATTGTTATACATGTACTTGTAACAAATGATGAAGGAATTCGTCGAAACTGTAGTAAAACCAACTACAAGTAAAGTATCTGAAAGCATTTTTAAAAACCACTTCACTTATTCTAAACAATTCAAGGGAAAAAGTTTAAAATAACAGCTTTAGAAAAATGTTACTAATGTAAAATGTTTCAGTGTACTAATGTATAAGGGAGGGGGGAGGGGGGTTAGCCCCTTCTTTTTTATTGCAAATATATATACATAATATAGGCATTAAAAATTGATGTTTACCTTTTTTGTTGGTTAAGCTTCCCAACCACTTTCAATTACCCCCCCCCCCCCCCCCCCCGTACTTTCAACTTGCTTCTGACGCCTATGGTTATACATCCCTAAATGTTGTAAAGCAGCTTAAAGCAATATGAGCTGTATTTTTGAGAATTTTATTTTGCTGGTAAAATGTGTTATTATGATTAATCTGCATGTAATCTAAACCCTTATGATCAATAAAACCAAAATATAAAAGTTTAAAAATGTTGCAGAAGAAATTTTTTTGTACAACCGAATATAGAGTATTACATATGAGAAATCATTATTGTACAGGACGACAATAATTCCATTTTGCTTTAATCAACGCGTATAAAAAGTTCTTTCATAGCAAATATGACCAACAGAAGTTTATAAATGTTCTATTTTTCTGTCATTGAAATAGTTAATTACAAATAACAACTTTTTTTTCCAATGTCAAACATGCAGCATATTGCTTTAACGAGTGAGCAAACTCATGCAGGTAAATCTCATATGTCATATCACCTTATTTTATTCCAACAACCCAGAAAATGGGTGATGTCATCTTCATGATTTAAAACTTCCTTCTGTGGATAATACAGATCATTGCAAACAATAAATCCATTCTTGATATAGATAAATTAAAGTACCATTTCAATTTCAATTGTATTTCATTACTGACAAATAGTAACCATCAACTGAAACAGCATATTTAAAACACAGAAAAAAAAGAAGAAAGTTTTATTCATTAACATTATGAAGTCAGCTAGTAGAAATATTTATATTTCAATCCGTATTTATAGTCTCAAACCTGAAGGCAAGTCTTTTGATGGATTAGGTTTCTATAAATAAAGATGTACCTGTGGTAATTAAATGATATAAGCCTCTAATTAACTGAAACTTACCTGACTCACCTTGCCCAGGTAAACGAAACTAACGGCCACAAGGAAATGACTCCAGATCTCAGTTTCAGTTTCTCTTATTTATGACATTTAAAACTTCTTTCTCTATCTTTCATTGGAAAATGTCAGAACCACAGATTTAAAAAAAAAATGGCCACATGAATTAGTGGTAGATGCTCTTCATTCCAACCAAAAATGCTGTGTGCCTCTCAAAAATCATGAATTTTTGCCCCCTCTTTTTTATCCCAAGTAAACACAGCGACATGAATGCCCATTAATTCACAAAACATCAAGGGACAGACGACACTTCTTTAACTGTTCAAGTTAAAAAACATCACTCAGAATATAAACAGCTGACATCAACACACAACTGTTTTCATCTAATTAACACTCTAATTAATAAACTCCCGATCTTTATATCTCTCCCTCATCTGAGCACATAAACGACCAAACCACACGATGTTAAATCCAAGTCGTAAACCTGCCTGACCTAGACTCATTCACAAACCACAGTGTTATAATATCCCTACATTCCTCGGGCCGTATAGAGAGAGTGTGGGCTTTAACAGAAGACTGTACGTCCCAGACTATTTTCTCAGGTATTTTTCCTACAGGTGAATCGACTTTAGAATAGGAGAGAACTCCTATAAAAGGTATATCCCACAATATTTTTAAAGGGTGAAATAATGGGGTCATCTCTCATAAAATAAGAGTTTCCCATGTGTTGACATTCCTTGCTGGGATTAAGGGTTAACTTCACAGTTGAATTGTTACTGATTACGTAATGTTTAAAATATAACATATACACATTAGTTATGTTAACTTACAGTTTTTCAAAATTTGAATAAATAATTTAAGCTTGGCATTAAATTTGACCAAAGTAATTTTTTTTACTTTCTATTAAATAACATTCTATTAATTGTCAGTTGTTTTGTTTTGTTTTTTCTTTAAACTAAGGGGGGAAGGAGATAGGTTTCAAAGATTTTAAAATTTACATTTTCAGTTATTCAGATAAAAATATATATAGTAACATCTTTTCATTAATTTTTACAGTTGAACCTCAGTGTTCCAAACATTGATATCTTGAATACCATGGATATGGTGACAAATTCATCTGAAAGTCCCAATATTACAGCAAAACACATTTAGTACGAACACAGATATTGCGAATTTACAGATATAGCGAAGTCATCTTTGATCCCCAGCTATATAAATTTAATGAATTCCTTGTACTGTTATAACGAATT